TGCTACTACTATCACTACTATTGCTACTACTACCACTGTTACTACCGCTACCACTGCTACTACTACTACTTACACTACTACTTCTGCTGCCCACCACCAGCACCATTATTACTGCTACTACTATGGCTACTACTACCACTTAGTACCACTACTACTATCACTGCTGCTGCTGCTGCTACTACTACTGCTATTACAAAAGAGTAGATATTTAGTAGTCAGTGGTCATTGTGGTAGTTATAGTCAGACTTATCAACAAGTACTCATTGAGCATTTATCATGTGCTGAACACTGACCTAAGTGAAAGGAATATAAAGATAAAAATAAAACAATCTCTGCCCTTAAGGGTCTTACATTCTAATGGTGGAATTAATATGAACATATATGTGTTTAAATGAAGTATGTATAAAATGAATACAAGGTAGTTTTGGAAGGGAATGAATGAGCACCTGGTTGGGGGGGTTGAGGAAAAGATTCATGAAGAAGATGATTATTGAACTGAGTCTTGAAGGAAAGCAGGCACAGGTGAAGAGGGGGCGTAATCCAGTACTGTGGTTAGCTAATGCAAAGGCATAGAGATAGAAGATAGAATACTATGTGCACCGAACTGCAAGTTGACATCTTCCCATGAAATTGAATTGGAAACTTATATCAATGTTAATCCATGCACCTCCCCCACCTTTCAACTCAATTATTTCAATTCAATTCAGTAAGTGTTTATTAAGTACATACTATGTGCCAGGCTCTGTGCTAAGCACTAGGGATTCAAATAAGAAAAAGAAAGACAGACTTTGTCCTCCTTCAAGGAAACTACAGTCTAATGAGGGAGATAAGACACAAATGGAAGCTGGAGAGGTGAGATATCTTTGGAGTTGATACCAAATGGAACCGTATGGAGAATGGTTGTTGTTGTTTGTCCTTCATTCTCAAAGAGGACCCGGCATCAGGCAGGTGATCCCATGACTTGTGAATGAATTGGATTCAAGTGAGAGAAGGCTATGCAAAGTCACCAGCCTCCCTTTGTCCTCCAGAGCCATCTGGGTCCAGTGGCCAGATACAGACCAGGACACCTGGAGATGGTCCTTGGATGGAGAATGGAATGACTTGTTAAATGATTGATTTTCTGGTTAGATCCCATTGTCAGCTTTCCTACTTCTATCTCTCTGTGTGGCCTCTGACTTTGGATTTCCTTTCTTTATGAAGACTAGCTAAAGTAGACATAAGCTGAAATCTCGTGCTGCCGTTCTTAGCATGAGGTGAGTATTTTTGTTTGAACAGCTGAGCCTTAATAACTATTACTAAAGTTGGGGTGGGGCAAGGATCAACCATTGAATTGGGAACCTTTAGTTATTTCCTCATTTATATATGTAGCAATGAGTTTGACTCCTGGAAGCTTCAGAACAGGACTCTCATGCACTTGCTTCTATCTACCCTTCAACTCTTTCAGTTTCTGCTTTTCTTTCTTTCTTTTTTTCAATAGAGAGAAGAGGGTTGGATGTATAGATTTGGGAGTCATCTTCATCAGGATGATAACAGTGGATTTCTTGGAAGCTGATGAGGTCATCAAGAGGGAGAAAGGAAAGAGAGAGAAAGAGAGAGATGGAAAGAGAAAGACAGAGAGGGAGAGAGAAGAAAAGAGTCCATGATCTCTTTGATTCAATTGAACAAACATTCAGATCGATAAAGTCACTTTCAATAAAATTATTGTATAAGTACACATAATGTATCATATGCATATGTATGAAATTATATATAAATGCAACTAGGTACCTACTACATATATGGTATTATTCTAGACCCTGATTCCATGCCACCTAGCTTCCCTACAGTCAAATCCTGGCTATGTGGCTTGCTAGTTAAGGGACTTTGCATAGGACTTTGTCTCTCTACCTCATTTATAGAATGAGAGGATTGGAATAGGTAATTTCTGAAGTTCATTCTAACTTGATATTTATGATCATGTGATCTTAAACTGTATATAGTTGTAAGACCGAAAGAGCTGTGATCATACCTGATGGGTGTGATGTCAAACATAAATACCACTGAACTTCCTGACAAAGTGATATAGAATGTCTCCAGAAAGGAAAATATATCCTCAATCATTGACTAGCTCCTTTCTTGTTCCAACACCCAACTCCTTAAGCAACCTTCATTTGACTATCAAGCTATTTTCTTCTATCTTTTTTTCTTTCACAGTCAAACTCATAGAAAAATTGTCTATGCCCCTTTCCTCTAACTTTCTCACCTGGCCCCAATCACTTCTAAAACCCCCGGCTTTTTTCCCCACCCCTCCACTGAAACTACTCTCTACAGGGTTCTCAATAATTTACTGCTAAATCTAATTATCTATTAGTCATTCTTTTCCTTTTTTTGTCAGTATGTTTTTGTTTTATTCTCATTTTATTTAACCTCTCATTTATGCTACTATAAACAAGTTAAAAACCTTTTGAGACTTTACTTTCTTTATTATAAATTGAGGGTCTAGATTATACAATCTCCAAGGTTCATTCCTGTAAGATATAATGTTGTATTATTTTTTCCCACTTAATAGCATTTTATGTTTTATATTTTTTCAGTTACATGTAAAGATAGTTTTCAATCCTCATTTTCATAACATTTTTAGTTCAAAATTTTTCTTCCTCCCTCCCTTCTCTCCCCCCTCTCCAAGAGAGGAAGTGGTGTGACATAGGTTATACATGTACAATCATGTTAAACATTTCCACATCAGTCATGTTTTAAAAGAAGAATCAGAACAAAAAAGGAAAAACCACAAGAAAGAAAAAAAACAAAAAAAATTAAAATAGTACACTTCAATCTTTGTTCAGTCCCCATAGTTCTTTCTCTGGATGTGGATAGTATTTACCACATAAGTTTTTTGGAGTTGTCTTGGATCATTGCATTGCTGAGAAGAGCTAAGTGTACTATAGTAGATCATCACACAATGTTGCTGTTATTATGTACAATGTTCTCCTGGTTCTGCTCACTTCACTCATCATCAATTTATGTAAATTATTGTAGGGTTTTCTGAAATCTGCCTGCTTATCATTTCTTACAGCACAAGAATATCTCATTACATTCATAAAGCATAACTTGTTCAGCCATTCCCCAATTGATGGGCATTTCGTCATTTTCCAATTCTTTTCCATCACAAAAAGAACATCTATATATATTTTTGTACATGTGGATCCTTTTCCCCTTTTTATGATTTCTTTGGGATACAGACCTAGCAGTGGTATTGCTGGATCAAATGGTATGCACAGTTTGATTGCTCTTTGGGCATAGTTCCAAATTGGTCCCAGTTCACAATTCCACCAACAATGCTTTAGTGTTCCAATTTTCCCAAACTTCTCCAACATTTATCATTTTCTTTTTCTGTCATATTAGCCAATTTGAGGTGATGCCTCAGAATTGTTTTAATTTGCATTTCTCTGATCAATAGTGATTTAGAGCATTTTTATATGACTTTAGATGGCTTTAATTCTTAGTCATTATTTTTCTTGATCTCTTTGCAGCATTTAATACCATTGACCCTCCTATCCTCCTGAATGGGGCAGCTAGGTGGCACAGTGGATAGAGTGCCAGGCCTAGAGTCAGGAAGACTTATCTTCCTGAGTTCAAATCTGGCCTCAGATACTTACTAGCTGTGTGACCCTGGCCAAGTCAATTAACCCTATTGACCTCAGTTCCTTTCTGTAAAAATGAGCTGGAGAAGGAAATGGCAAACCACTCCAGGATCTTTGCCAAGAAAACCTCAAAATGGAGTCAAAAGAATTGGTGATGACTGAAACAACCGAACAGCAAAACACAATCCTTCCGAATATCCTCTTCTCCCTGGGTTTTCATAATACTGCTCTCTCATCGTTCTTCTACCTATCTATCTCTTTTGAAGGGTCATAAATATCCCACTCTTCTATGTGTGGGCATATCCCAAGGTATTGTCCTGGGTCCTCTCCTTTTTCCTCCCTACACCCTCTCTTTTGGTGATTCCATATCTTCCATAGATTCAGTTATCATATCTATGCAAATTATTCATATATCTCCAATCCCACAAAGAGGCAGCTGGTGGCTAAGTGATGAGAAATAGTGAAACCAGGAGGCAAAATAGACTGGAGAGAACCTAAAATGCAAATCCTTCTCCATTATGGGTATGAGAAATATCATAATAACAACAGCAGTAATAATTCATATTTATATAGAACTTCCTTCAGAATAGCTCTGTAAGGTAGGTAATGTGCCCATTATTATGCCTATATTACAGATGAAGAAATGGAGGCTAGGAGAATTTGAGTGATTTTCCAGTGGTCACATAGCTAATACATAATAAAACTAGGATTCAGAACTAGGTCTTTTTTGACTCCAAATCCAACACATTTCCCACTGAAGTTATTTTGAGCTTCTTGAAAGCAAGATTATACAGATATCTAAGATTTTTGTTTTGTTTTCCATTATCTAGGTGTGAACAATTGAAGGTGATATCTTTAGCTAAAACTAGTATTTCTTAATAATAATAATAAATAAATAACTTATAGCATCTACTATATGCCAAAGTGCTAAACACTTTACAATTATTATCTCATTTGATCCCTACAATAATCCTGGGAGATGAGTGCTTTATTATTCCTATTTTATAGATGAGAAAACTTAGACAGAGGTTAAGTGACTTGCCCAAGGTCACACAGCTAGTCAGCACCTGAAATGGGATGTGAACTCATGTCTTTCTGACTCAGTAGCTGACCTGAAGCCAGGTGCTCTATCCACTGTGACACTTAGCTACCCATAAAATACTATACTTACTTCTCCTTCCCCTTTACCCCACACTAAAGCCCCAATTTAATCTCTATTTGTTGTTCAGGCTGCTTCCTTCCTTGTCGTGATCCATATAGATGGCAGGGCTAGGAGTTACTGGACAGAGAATGTGTGGCCTTTGCCTAAGCCTATTCCTACCATTCTGCTCTCCATAGTACTGATCCTATGTGTTCTTTCCTCCTCTCCCATTCTCATAGGGCTTACATGAGTGTGAAGGAGCTGAAAGAAGCTTTGCAACTGAACAGCACCCACTTCCTCAATGTCTACTTTGCCAGTTCAGTGCGGGAGGATCTGGCAGGTGCTGCCACCTGGCCTTGGGACAAAGAAGCCATCAGCCACCTTGGTGAGTGAGACCCAAGGGATTGCACTCTAGACAAGAGAAGAGAAGCCTTGATTTAAGCTTGAAGGTGCCCTTTTCGATGTTCGATTACATTAGAGGCAGTGCTATGAAGGGATGTGTGTGGACAAAGGTATGAATAATTAATTCAATGATTGTTTTTTATTATTCAGTGATTTTTTTTTCCTTTTGGCTTTTCTAAGGCTAACTCAAGGGAGTGTTATACTTTCAAAATAACTTTAGCAGCAGATAAATCAGATATATTACAATAAATAGTGGTGAAATGTACAGTGTGTTCTAGACATAATTGAGAAAGGAGATGGAAATAAACCACTGGAATTGTTGGCACCAGTCCAAGATTTTTGAAAGACCATGGGATGGTGAAACTGTGAAACCATTGGCCAAAATGCATAACCTCAATTTATGAAAGACTTCTATGCCAGGAGAAAGGTAGGTTGCCAATATGACTACCATCCAGAGGAAGGCCCCTCCAAAGATCCTGGAAATTAGAGACTGCTGGGTCCTACTGCCATTAAACTGGTACAAAATATGCCATCAAGGAGAAGAACAACGTACATGTAGATAAGCATAATTCAATGGGGGAAAGGCAAAATGATTTCTGCAAGAGAAATAGTTGCTAAATAGTATTTATTATATATTTATGTCAATATAGATGTTTATTATAATTATAGCAATAATTATACAGTATTTTATAAAATACTATCAATCAATAATTATTTACTAAGTAACCATAAGGTGTTAAGCACTCTATCTGAAATAGGAAAAACAAAAAAGCAAGACAGTCTTTGTCCCTGAGGAGTCTACATTCTAAACATAGGGGATATATGTGTGTGTGTGTGTGTGTGTGTGTGTGTGTGTGTGTATTTATATATACATATATATATGTATATATACACACACATTATGTATGTATATGTGTGTATGTTTGTATGTGCACACTATAATACTACATATCCTGCATGTGTATATATGCATATACATACAGACATATATTCTTATACATACATATACAAACACACACACATATACTTCTCTAGTAGCTAGTGGAAACACTGGTAAAACCTACAATGTTAACTTTCCCTGGGCTGGGCCTTTTATGCCTCAGGTAGCAAGGCAGCAAAGGGCCTCCACACTCCTTCAAAGTATCAGCTTAATCAACATTAAACAAGTGTTGTTCTGATCATAGGCAGAAAAGGATAAAATCATATCTTTAGAACCAGAAGAGAATTTTGAGACCACTTCATTCCACCGCATCCTGTTATGGAGGAAGAAAAAGAAAGGCCCAAAGAGGTTAAATGATTTGACCCAAGTCCCACAAGTAGTAAGTTAAAGAGTAAGGATTTCATACACACGTCTTCTGAGTCTTAAATCAACACTTTTTTTTTGTTTTGTAAATTTGTACTTAACTAAGATATTATGTTACTCTAGGGTAGCAATGTGATATACATTGACTTTGAGGTTAAAAGACCTAGGTTTGAACCCTTGCTCTGCTTCTAAAAAGAAAAAGAAAAGGAAGAAGACAAAAAATATCGGCAAAACCAAACAATATATTGAAAGAAATCTGACAATATGAATGCACTGGGGGGAGGTATTTGTTTCTATGATAGATTCATGATAAAATAACATGGAGAATCTCCCTGAAAGTCCATATGCATCAGTACCTGGCAGTGTAGTGAAAAGAATTGTGGATTTGAAGCCAGAAAACTTGGATTAATATTTCAGTGATGCCATAATACTTACTACTTGTGTGGCAAAAGGCAAATCATTTAACTTCCCTGGGCCCCAGGGTCCTCGTCTGTAAAATAGTGTTGGACTAAATGATCTCCACAGTCTCTATAGCTCCAAAGCTTTGATTATACTCATAACAGATGATGGGTGAAGAAAATTGGACAGTATTGTTAACATATGATAGATTGTCAGGAGCAAGGTGGCCTGCCAAGTAGTTCTGAAGCTCCATACTCAATCTTTTTTTTTAAATTCCCCAACAGAGATGCTTTCTTTCAGTCCCAAATACCTCTCAACTGATACAACTAAATTCATGTAATCTAGCACGGACTTTTGTACTTTAGCCAATGTTTAGGGTTGAAACTGTAGCATATTATTTCCTATGAGATTACCTAAGTATAAAATGGAAATTCACATCAAAATATTTCTAGGGCCCTAGTAAATGATCTCTGTCCTCCATCATGGGCCCTACCTACCAATCTTGACCTCTCCCACTTTTCCAATCACAAAAGCTACTCAAGCCTAATTCCTTGAAAAGACATGGGGTTACATCTAAAAAAAAAAACAAGCTGGCACTGATCCTAGGAAGTTTAAAGTTTTTTCTAGCTATACTCAAAAAAATGGACAGGGCTATTATCACTAGCTCCAGAGGAGTATCCCACATAGGGGAGGTTGGAAGTATTATGTGAACAGGATGTACTTTAAAAAAATGATACTGTGACATTTACTTGCTAAATGTGTGACCCTGGGCAAGAAACTAAAACTCTGTCTGCCTCAGTTTCCTCAATGTTAAATGTGGATGACACAATAAAAAGGCTGCAGGGTTGTTGTATGGATCAAATGAGATAATATTTGTAAAGCACTTGGTACAGTGCCCAATATAGTTGGTGTTTAACAAATTCTTGTTTCCTTCATCTTTCTTTCCATTTCATATCACCTTCATTTCTAAATATACTTCTCTCTTCTCTTCTACCCAGTAAATTCTTCTAGCAACTAAAAATGAAGAGAGAAAAAATTTAAAGTAAATTAATCAAACACATGACAGTAGGTGCAAAGTTAGAGACCCAGAGTCCACCACCTCCAAAGGAAGGGAAGGAGGTACATTTCTCATCTCTTCTCTGGGGACACGCTTGGTCATTATAATTACAAAGCATTGAGTTTTACTTTGTGTGTGTGTGTGTGTGTGTGTGTGTGTGTGTGTGTGTTTTAAATCTATATTGTTGCAGTCATTGTGTATAGAGATTTTCTGGTTCTGCTTACTTAACTATGCATCAGTTCATATATCTTCCATGCTTCTCTGCAGTCTTTCAATTCATTGTTTCTTTAGCAGCACTGAAAGCCAGTAACATTCATGAACCACAGTTTGTTTAGCCATCCACTAAACAATGGACATTTACTTTGTTTCCAGTTCTTTGCCAACACAAAAAGTCCTGCTATGAATACTTTAGTATATGCAAGAATTTCTCTCAATCTTTGACTTTCTTTCTAGCAGCAAGATCTCTGGTTCAAAGGTCAGGGACAAGTTAGTAAATTTTAATGCATAATTCCAAATTGCTTTTCAGAATAATTGGTCCAATTCAGTTCTACTAGTAGTGTATTAGTGGCACTGGGTATTGTTGCTGAGTCAGCCCAAGTTACCATAATTGCTGTGGCAGGTGCTGAATAGCAACCCCTACTAAATGAATCAACATAGTCTGTGAGAAGGGTCCTTTTTCAGTTAGTGATGCCTGTCTCTAATAACTGGAAGTAGAAACAGACTGGGCTGACAAAATTCAGAGAAGCAGTAGGAGGCTGCATCAGATGTCACAGTGACATCCTTATTTCTTCCTGCGCTAGTATAAGCTGAGTGCATGAGCTCTCTAGCTAAATGAGGCATGGCTCCTTAAAGTTTGAAAACTCTCACCACCAGCACTGACATTCTCCACATCACTAAACAATCAAGTCAGTTCAATAAACATTTATTAAACACCTACTACATGTCAGGTACCATGTCAAAAATTCCTTTCTTCAAGGAGATAACAATCTAATGGATCATTTGTTAAGTGCCTACTATGTGCCAAGATGGAGCAGTTAGGTGGTACAGGGGATAGATTGCTGGGTCTAGAGCCAGGAAGACTCATCTTCCTGAATTCAACTCCTACCTCAGACATACTGGCTGTTGTGACCTGGGCAAGCACTTAAACCTTTTTGTCTTGGTTTCTTCATCTATAAAGTGAGCTGGACAAGGAAATGGCAAGCCATTCCAGTATCTTTTCCAAAAACAACAACAAAAAACCCAAAGCCAAATTGGGTTAAGAAGACTCATTGTGGTGAAAAGTACCAAAAAACAACAACACATGCTAGCATTGGGAATTTAAAGGCAGAAGTGAAATAAGCTCTGTCCTCAAAGAATTTACATTTGAATAGAGGAGACAACACGCAATGATAAAATTATGTCTGTTTATGTGTGTATGTATATACATGTAAGAAAATGTATGTGTATATTTTATATATGCCCATACATAGAACTATGCATGTGTTATACAATAAGTTATAATCACACACACACATATACATACACACACATGCATGCATACATATAAAACAGATACAAGGCAACATCAGGGGTGGGGAGATGAAGAGAACACTATTAGCTTGGCCAGCCAGAAAAGGCCTCACACACAAAGCTTTTGAGCTGAATCCTAAAGGAAATTAGAGATTCTGAAAGGGAGAGATAGGGAGGGAGTGCATTTTAGGCATGTGGGATAGCCAGTGGAAAGGCATAGAGATAAGAGGTGGAATACCATGGCTAGGAAAACATAAGAAGGCCAGTTTAGCTCTAGAGTAGAGAACTATAATAAGCCCTGAAGAAGAGGAGATTCTAGATCAAGATACTTGGTGTCACTTCTTCATGACTCCTGGTCTCTTCAGATTTCTCCCCATGTAGTACTCTTTGCCCTCCGCACACAGTCTTTTCACTCCAATTAACATAGCACTCACAACATGTCCATTGTTTTTGCTAATACCATTTGGTTGCTCTATCTTCTCTGCATCAAGGCTGGTCTCATTCATTATCCATCCCTTACTATCACCAGCAATCAGCCTATATCAGGTGACTCCAAAATATCTTGAATAAAATCGCAAGCAAATGATCTTTTTATCAGTTATGTGCAATAGCAGTGATACTCATGGAGTAAATGTTTCTTCTAGCATTGTACATATTACTTAATTCAAGCATCTCTGTTTCCCAGCTTAGTAACATCCTAGGCTCCTAATATTCT